GTGCGTGTATAGGCTCGCGACGAGCTGGCTCGTTAGGCCCGTTTTTTTACGGGCTAAAAATACTTGAGCCCGACTCACAAAAATATGGGCTGGCTCGTGAGCCAGCCCGCGGACCGAGCTCATTTTACATCCCTAAGGAAAAGGTCGTAAGACTCGTTTAGATAATATAAAAATAAACGTTTTCAGTAGTGTAATTGAATAAAATATAGAAAATATTTTCAAACCTGGAATTTTCTACAACCCAAAAAAGTCTAACTTTTTCGAGATAACTATTATCTCCACAAAGGCAAAAAAAATATAAAAATTAATTATAATATTTATGTTTATATTATATATTTAAAAAGAAAAAATATTTAACATTATCTATATTATGCAAGTACCATGAAATGCAATGAATGTATCATATCCTATATTATTATATGACCAACCGGCAACCGTTCGTCGGTGAATCACGCTTTCGTCTATGATACAAAATTTCTGTGTACCGTCTGCATAATAATGTTATAATGATAATCATAATCGTCTATGATACAAAATCCATAGAACTGCAATGCATTTCCATGTAGATGTATGGACCGTAAATGGTGATTAGAGTATTGAAATAGATTCAGAAGAATTTTATTATTTATTTTTAATCTATGAAAATAATTCGTTTCTCCTAATTGTAGAAGGAAAAAAATTCCTCTTAAATTGTTTACAATTCCCAATAAGATAAGAGCCATGAATATGATAATTTCTGGGAACATTTACTCGAATAATTAGACATGTTAATTACAAGATAATACCAAACATAATTTGGATATGTAGCCGACGAGTCGCCGCGTCACTGCCAGGTAAGCAAAGAAAATCGCCATCCAACAAAAAGTCGGAAAGAAACGTGCACCGCGACACATGGGATCCCAAAATGTAAGTAGTTATCCACCGTACGATTTGACCCTGCTTCCAAATCTAGTTTCACCGACCAAACGGACGATCCAGATTGATTTACCTACCAGGGGATCTTTTTCTCCCTAGTACTAAATTTTTTTCCCCAAACAAAACTTGCTCACGTTTTTTTTCTTCATACGGATCTTTTTATTAACAATGCCTTTTTCAAGTTCTTTATAATACAGTAGATCAAATCGGGAAAAAAAAATCCATATACATGTAGATAAACACAAATATCAAATTCCATAAATGCATTGTTTGATTGAGATGATACAGATTTCAAATATATAGAGGGGAAAATTAATTTGGAACCCACCCAAGAAAAAACACGACTTCAAAAAATTACATGGCTAAAGATAAGAACTCCCCGACTAATTAAGACAACCAAATAAGGCCTACACAGTTTTGTTGGGAATTGCGTGAACGATGATACCATGATGAACCCATCCCCCAAAAACAGAGCACCAAAAATAAAAAAGAAAAAAAGATGAAAAAAAAAACAGAGATAAATGGGGGAAAACCCTGTCCTAGTTCCAACCTTTTCGGAGGTCCGTGTACACAAGTACTTCCCATGCCGAAGCCACTGGATCAGATAAAAATCTTTCTTTTTTAGAAAAAAAATCACGACCATAAAAAACGGCAATTTTTGAGGGAGAGGAAGGAAGTTTCGGGGGTTTGTCTCTTCGGGTGGGTCCATCTCGTCAAACATGCAGATAGATGCATTGCCTCTATCACCTATAAATACTCGCTCTTTGTTGTTATCCGAGAACCATCCAAGCCACATTCGCTTGTGTTTTTTTCTTCTCTCTCTCTTGGATTTTTTTTTTCCTTTTTTTCCTCCGAGATTTCTCTTTGTTTTCCTCTCAAATCTAGATTCTTGCGGGCTATTTCCCTCCCTAGATTACTGGGTTTGTACACCTTCTGATTTTTTTTTCAAAAAATCGTAGATCTAAGAGATGAATGCTCTAGCTGCGACGAGCAGGAACTTTCGCCATGCAGCTCGAATCCTGGGCTTGGATTCGAAGATCGAGAGGAGCCTTCTGATCCCATTTAGGGAGATCAAGGTTTGAGCTTTGAACCTCATTTTGCAACATGACCGAGACATAGAGAGCAAAGAGAAAGCTTTCACCTTTAAGACTTTTATCTTTTTGGGTTGCTTGTGAAACCTGTCTTGTCTGCTTGCTTGGAATGCGTTTTCGATTAGAGTATTTTTTCCTGCGCTGTGATCAGGTGGAGTGCACCATACCCAAGGACGATGGAACTCTGTTTCGTACGTTGGATTTAGGGTTCAGCACGACAATGCTCGTGGACCCATGAAGGGAGGAATCAGATATCACCCTGAGGTTCGATCTCTCTCTACTTTTGATTTGGGATTCAATCTTTTGCAAGGATCTTTCAAGGGTCAATGCTTTGTTTCTTAAAAGTTTAAACTTTCGCTTTTGGATGGTTGCCTTTTTCTCTCTCTCTTGTTACTGAAATTTCTCCTATTCGGTTGCAGTTTCAGAATATCATTTAGTTGTCTTCCTGATAATGCTTTTTTCATTTGAAAGTTTGGGTTTTGAATTGAATGAAGTGTTTTTTAAGCTAATCTGGTCTTGAAAGATTCTTGCTTTGCCGCTTCTCGCAATCAAAGAACCATCATTGAAACTGAAACTGTGCGTGTATATATATATATGTATATATCATTGGAATGTTTGTTCTGTTGATGATGAAGGTGGATCCAGATGAAGTGAACGCCTTGGCTCAGCTGATGACGTGGAAGACGGCAGTAGCCGACATTCCGTACGGAGGAGCAAAGGGCGGAATCGGATGCAGCCCTCGGGACCTGAGCTTGAGCGAGTTAGAGCGTCTAACTCGTGTTTTCACTCAGAAGATACACGATCTGATCGGTATTCACACCGATGTTCCTGCTCCCGACATGGGCACCAATGCTCAAACCATGGCTTGGATTCTTGACGAGTACTCCAAGTTCCATGGCCATTCCCCTGCTGTTGTCACCGGAAAGCCCATTGTAAGTCTGTACATACATATGATTTGTTTTCTATTACCATTGGATCGTTTTGGTTAAGTTTTTCCATGATTCCATCCCGCCCGGCCCGGGCTGTAGTATCTTGGTGGCTCACTCGGTAGAGGGCCTGCCACTGGACGAGGCGTTGTCTTTGCCACTGAAGCTCTTCTCGCTGAGTACGGGAAATCAATCGAGGGCTTGACTTTTGTTATTCAGGTAATACCGAAGTCCAAACCCGAATGCATCGTCTAGTGAAAGAACGGAAAAGATAAAGGGAAAGAATGGGAATGGCAGGGTTTCGGGAACGTGGGGAGTTGGGCGGCGAGGTTGATCCACGAGAAAGGCGGCAAGGTCATCGCTGTGAGTGACATCACGGGCGCCGTTAAAAACCCTAACGGTATCGACATCCCGTCGCTGTTGAGGCACAAAGAATCCACCGGGAGTCTCAAGGACTTTGATGGTGGAGATGCCTTGGATCTCGACGAGTTACTCGTCCATGAGTGTGACGTTCTCATACCCTGCGCTCTCGGCGGCGTCCTCAACAGGTCCTAAACCCGATCCATCCTCTCTCTCTCTCTCTCTCTCTCTCTCTCTCTCCCTCTCTCTCTCTCTCTCTCTCTCTCTCATCAATGCAGTCCTGTCCTGTAGGGAGAATGCAGGGGACGTGAAGGCGAAATTTATAGTAGAGGCAGCAAACCATCCGACAGATCCAGAAGCAGATGAGGTTTGTGTGCTCCTGTCCTGTCCTGTCCTAACCTGTGAATCCTGCAATGACAGAAGTCGGCAAACTGTTTTTTTTTTTTCAGATACTGTCGAAGAAAGGAGTGGTGATACTGCCGGATATATACGCAAATGCGGGAGGAGTGACGGTGAGTTACTTCGAGTGGGTACAGAACATACAAGGGTTCATGTGGGAAGAGGAGAAGGTGAATCTGGAGCTGAAGAAGTACATGACTAAGGCCTTCCACAACATCAAGTCCATGTGCCATTCCAATTCCTGCAACCTCCGCATGGGCGCTTTCACTCTCGGGGGAGCCACTCTTCTCCGCGGCTGGGAAGCCTAGAAACATGAAACATTGAATGTTAAACCATTTGGTATTCAAAAGAAAGAGAGATACCGATCGAAAAAGTTTCAGGGTTCTTTGAGTTTGGTTGTTTTGCAAGGGCGGATTCCATTGCATTTTTCATGTCTTAATACTACAAGTTTTCAAGAAGTGTGTAGATGACATTGTTGGTACAGATCTGACATTCCATGTCAACTCGTTTGAGTATATACAGGGAGTAGCTGTGTGTGTGTGTGTGTGTGTGTGTATATGAACGCATCATTCTCAACGACAGTTACAGAAGAGAGTGAGAAAATGGAGGGTATTTCTTCAATCGAAAGGATCAATCCGAGGGTCATGCTCGCTCGCCATAGCCATTCCAGTGCATAGGCATGTCGGACACATCACCTGGAACACCAAACATCAATTTAGTACTATCCATGTCTTAAGGGGTGTCTCGTGTCACCATTGGCGTTCTTTCCGGACCTCGTGTCTGTACCTTTCCAGATCCTGAACAGTTTGGACATCTTTCGGTTTTGGGTTTAGACAAAGGTTGATCCCCACCGTCAACAGTTGATACCTGTTCTATAAGAACAAGGGCACCAGTGTTCGAGCAACGAGCACATGCTAGATACCCTGTATTTAGATCCATTCCCTTAAATCATGAGAATCTGATTCATTTTTCGAATTTTGAAGCACCGGAAAACAGAACAGATTGAGGAGTGATTTACCTGTTCCAAGACAGTATCTGCATCTTTTATGCTCCTGCTGCTTCACATTGTTTACTTCAACCACCATCAGAGCCGAGATCACGCCAACAGCTCCACCAGAAAACGATGCCACTATCGGATCAACTTGACTGGATTCGGGTTTGGGGGGGGGGGGGGTTTCATTTCTTTTTCCTTTGCAAAAAGCACATCAGATAACTAAGCCTAACCTTAATTGCATAGGTAGATGGACGCTGCGAATGAAATCAACATACGATGTGCCTCCTATACCCAGCTTCAGCTCAAGCTATTGGTACACCAAAACATATTAGATGAGACAAGAAACAGACTATTTGGTCATTCGAAACTCGCAGAAATACTTACAGTAGGTGCTAGTAGGCCACCGAAGAGGATAATCCCGGCAATAAGCGAAAAGCAAGTTGCATAGTAAACTCTCAAATTGGCAGCACTCTGAAATGAATGTTTACAGATCAATTGAAATCTTAGACTAAAGCAAAAAAGGACCCATTTTTTAGCAGCAAAGTGATGAAGAAAACTCACCAATGGGGGTAAGAACGGAATGAACGATGGGAAATTAGAGAGTTCAATATCTTGCTCTTCACTCGTGATACCGAGTTCCGCGTTTTTGATCCTTTGTTGTATTCTCAGCCTCCGGACCTGTATATTGAGACAAGAACATAATCTACTCAAAACAGGAAGAGATATAAATGCAAAAGGACTGAAGACAGCAGAAGAAAGCATTTACATAAGTTGTCGTCTGGTTACAATCTAAGGGTTTTTACCAAATCCACCAAAGCAATCAAGATGGAAGAAAGTCTGCTACAACTTTTCATGCTCACCTCTTCCATGTGCAAGAAAATCTTGTTTCGACGGCTTCCAATGTTGTCTCGAATCTCTTGCAGTTCCATTTTGGCAAAGTCCTGCACTGTTTCAGGCCCTTCTATGATACAAAATCTGCACAAATCAATCAATAATGGAACTTGTCACGCACTATGAATCGGATCATATTCATCTAATTAAGTTTCCGATTCTAGAATCTTCATCGAAGCTCGCGATCCCAGAATCCAAGCAGATTTCAAAAGCAAATTGGTCATTTCCTGATTGAAATTCTTTGAGCAACACCAAAATCTAACCCGAACATGAAGCCGAAACAAGGATCAAGGAACAATCGGAAGATATTAACGTGAAACCCTGATTCAGATTACCCGGCGGCCGTTTTCTCCGCGGATTCCGAGTCGATCAAGGGAACTGCAGACGAAGATTCCGGCTCCACCGCCATTGATCGCCATCTCAATCTCCGGACACACCGGGAATTGCACAGAAGATACGGCTTGGGCGGGAAGGATAAGGACAAAACCTTACCCAAACAAGACATCATTCAAATCCTCACGAACCATTTCTCTGCAATGCTGCAATGGACTTGTTTGAAGATGGCGACGAGAACAGCCACGTGGCATGTTTATATTGTCGTGGTATTTATTATTTATAGATTTTTCTTAGCTCCAAATGAATTGAAAAAATAAATAACATATAACTTTTACAAAAATTCCATTAAATTAAAATAGTTAAACTATAAAACTTTCATATAAATACCTACTTTTAAAAATTTTATATAAATACCTAGACTTTAAAAAAAAATCCAAATAAATATAAATTTCAAGTATTTTTTAAATAAAAATATGTGATATTATTAACGTATTTTGAGTTTATTTGGAAATTTTTTAAAAGTCTAGGTATTTATATAGGATTTTAGAAAAGTTCAGGCATTTATATGAAAATTTTGTAGTTCAGTTATTTATATAAGATTTTTATAAAAGTTTAGCTATTTATATACGATTTTTTTAATAAAAAAAAAGATAAACTGTGTTCGTTGCAAAAAAAAGAAAATTGTAATATTTTGTGTTATGGAAAAAGTTAGGACGGATAAATTATTTTCCTGTTTATGTATTGTCAACTTTGTTATATATTTAACAAATATGTCAATAATGTGAAAATATATATTATATTAGTATCATTTAAACTAAAAAAATATCAACGCTGCACATCTATATATATATATGTATGTATGTGTGTAATTTTGTTCCTTTTTTGCACTCGAAAATGCTGTTTAATTTATAGGAAAGTCTTTGTTTTTTCCATCTGGGTCATTTTTAAAATATATTAATTACGAAAAAATGGGGAATATCACCATTTCTATTCTAACCACATATATTGTGCCACATGCAGATAATGGGTGGAGAAATGGGGTTTAGTAGAACTGGGCCATATTCAATTGGGTTGGATCCAATGCAATTAAAGTTGGGCCCTGTTTCCATTCGGCCCATACAGTTACCCGAATAAAACGGTGCGTTTTATGACACTAGGTGACTAATTTGATTAATAATCCAACCGATCCAAATCGAATAACGCATAACTACAATAAAACCTGATTAGATATAAAACCGAACCGAAAAAAATTAATGAAAAAATCATAAATTTCTTTTAGAAAATGAATATTTTTTATTATAACCGAATAGAATTCAATATAAAAACCGAATGATTATAGTTTTTTTTCAAATTGAAATAACCAAATCCGAACTGAAACTCGATTCAGATCTTATCTAATGCCGCCATTCTCGTACGCACCAATAATAAGGCAGACCGACCAATAGGGTTTATACATTTTGATCATTACTATTCTATACATGAATAGAAAATGAAATATACACTAATTATTAGAAAATAGAAGGACATACATAATAAAACAAATAAAAGTTTATCCAACTCGGAGGATGATCTAAGTGACTCACAAATTGTTTTAAATGAAGAAATTAATTAAATACCATTTTTTATGGTTATAAAATTTCAGTTAGTGTTTGTATTTTTGTTATTCCGCTAAGCATTTAGATGAAAATTAAATTAATATAAATGAAAACATTGTTAGGCAAAGTGATTATCCGCCTAAATAACTAAACTTGTCGTAAACCGATTACTACACCACAGTTTATGAAATCCTTTTGCGACACAATATAACTCGTGTTCCGATTCATGCACTATATATATATATATATAGAATATCAAAGAAAAAATAACTTATTCGTATTTATTCAAAGAGTATGGTGTCTAAATGTGAACTCATGCTCTTGTTTACACTACAAAAAAATCACCGAATTCCAACGGATTTTCCAACGGATTTGTCCGTTGGAAATTTTCCAACGGATTTTCAACGGTTTTCAACGGCGTTTCAACGGCGATTTCCGTTGAAAATGCCCGTTGGAAATTTTTAACGGAATTTTCAACGTATTCAATTGAAAAATTGGGTTAAAATTTCCAACGGTAAAATCAGTTGGAAATGTCCAACGGAATTTCGACGGATGTTGGTTAGAAAAAAATTCCAACGGATATCGGTTGGAAATTGTTTTGGAAATTTTAAAACAAATTCCAACGGAATTCCAACGGATATCATTTGGAAATTTTTTTGGAAATTTTAAAAAAAAATTCTAACGGAATTCCAACGGATATCGGTTGGAAATTTGGATTTTAATTGAAAAATCAATTGAAAAATCTAATATATATATTTATATATGTATATATAATATATGAATTTGAATATGTATATACGTAAATATATATACATATATACGTATAAATAATTGTATATATATATGTATATATATGTATATATGTGTATGTATATATAAATATTTTTATATATATATTTATATATTTTTATATATATATATATATACATGTATTTTATATATTTATACGTATACATATATATATATATACAAATACATGTATATTTTATGTATATATATTTTTATATGTACAAATATAATGTGTATATATATGTATATATATATTGATGGATATGATGCTCTAGAATGATCATACGATATGAGAACGATGTATGATACGATGTATTTATTGGATGAATACATTATTTATTATTTATTTTGCATATTTGATAAATAATGATAATCCATGGATCGTTATGTACGATCCTAAATTCCTTAGTCGCTTGTCATTGTGGGAACAATGATGAATTAAGACTAACATGAGTCGTGATGGATGATCATAATGATGATCATGTGTATTGGATACGGATCACGGTCATGAGTACTTGTTTGGAACAAGTAACTGGATGACTCGCGTGAGATTGTCGATTGGATATAATCCTTGACTTGAATCTCATTTGATGGTTCACTTTGGATCCTCAGACCTGAGATGTCTATTGTATCCATCATGACGAGTAATGTACTTTGACTGCGTCAAACGTCGTCTTTAACCGGATGACTATAAAGACGGGGCTCGGGTATATTACGAATCATGTATTGGATAGTAGATAGTCAAGATGAAACTTTGTCCCTCTCGAAAGAGAGAGATATCGCTTGGGCCCGTCGTAGGAGTGAGACTGTAGAAATGTGTGGCCACACAATAGATGAATGTCATCTGTAATACCCCGATTCCCGTATAAATTATTTAAATTATTTTCGGGAATAAGAAGAGGGTTAAACAAGGCGAAAATATAGAGAATATTTCAACGAAGATCTAGAAGAAAACGACACTCGATTTGACTGAGAAACGAGGAAGTTATGAGCAAACGAAAACTGAGTAGAACCTGGAAACTCGTAATTCACAAGTTATTCGAGGTACGGACGTTTCGAGTTGTACCTCATCATGTAAACATGAGTTTCCAATAATCTATTGATTGGACATGAAAGAGGATGTTCCAAGGAAGGTGTAGAAACAAACGGTGCGCGATTCGGGTAAGAAACGAGTGAGAACGGAGCAATCGAAGTCAGCCAGGACGGACCAGAAATGCAGAACGGACGGACTGCTAAAGCGGAGCGAACGAACCACGAACGAGCGAGGAGGTGGGCCGAAACTAGGCCCAGACCGTCCGTTCCAAGACTAGAACGGACGGTCCGCTGAACAGAACACGCAAGTGGCCAACTTGCTGTCTTGGGACGCATTTTTCTCCGCGTTCCTAGGACCCACCGGCGTCAACCCACCGACAAAACGCGTCGAGGCATTGCATGCTCGACCTTGGGCCTGGGCTTGAGCCCATTCCACCTCCCTCTCGCAGCATAAACCTCTCCCAAGGTAGGGATTTCACCATTTTCGGACAAAAACAGAGAAAAGAGAGGGAGAGGAGAAACAGAGAGAAAGGGGCGAAAACCAGGGAGAATCGACACAAGGGAAGCTCGGGAAAACAAGGGGAGGCATCCCTAGAGTGTGTGAAAGAGATTTTCGGCGAGGATCAGACAGGAAAACACCACGAGATCCCGTCAAAACCAGATCTGAGCTGAAACAGAGGTGAGTGGCTTGAGTTACATCTGTGTAAGCTCGTTTTCATCGATGTGATTGTGTTATCTCGATGATTTGCTGCTTGTATTGGTTGTAGGAGATTTCAATGGAGATTTAGCAACAAACCACGCATGATTTGGTTGAAAAATGAGTGAGATATGATTGAATGAAGACTGAAGAAAAAACAGGAAATTTAGAACGAGAATCTGTCTTGCCAAATTACGAATCCTTTTTCACCGTGTTACTGAAGTAATTCAATAATTGGTTGCTTGGGCTAGATAGAGGACATTTCAATGAACATTTAGCAACAAACGGAACTGAATTTGGTTGAGAAATGAGGGAGATATGGCCAAACGAAGTCGGACCAGAAAGCTGTTTTTCGCGAGAACGGGGCTGGAACGGACGGTCTACTGGACCGGACGTTCTGGAAGTCCAGAACGGACGGTCTGCGTTCCAGACTCCAAAAAATTGTCCCGAGAGCCCCGGGACAGTATGGGACCCCTGGAACGACCGTTCCACACCCTGGACCGACCGTTCTAGGGTACGGAACCCTTTTTCGGATGATTTTCGAATCCCGCGTGCGTGAGATGTGTGATTCAACGATGCGAGTGACTCGTTGCGTGATTATACTGGGTAGTTTGCATGGCGTTAATCGGTATCTCGGTCGGGACCGAATACCGCGATACGCGTGATTGTATTGGGAAGATATGCACGTTGATTGCCATGTTTGTAGCTCACTCGTGCGACGAGTGCAGC